TGCTACTCGAGTAATTAATTATTTAAACTGTTACGAGAGTCTAGATTCACACACTAGTAATGACTAGGAGGATATTTAAAATTCATTACAGTACATTAAACTTCCACTGATTAGTTAGCATCACTGCAAAATAAATAAATAGCCAATTCGCTTTGATCAGCAGAAATTCTGATAAAATCAGCAAAATACCAATTAAAATGTGAAAAATGTCACCTACTGTCATTATTCTAATGGAACTAAGACATAGAGAAGAAACTGATTCAATGTTTATGTTCGGATCAGCTGTGTCTTCAAACTGTAAATCATTATGGCTTTTACTTGCATCTCTTTCTCCCAAGCCCAGAATTAATTCTGCAGATAGATTTACTATGGACTGCATCATCCTGGAATAGACCATCCTATCATAAACAGAATAATAAGGTCTGGATGCACTTCTGCGAACTCCTGTTGGGAGGGGCAGAGGGGAGTAGCAATTCACTTAGAAATATGTGAACAGAAATGAAACTTGACATGTGAGATTTTTGCCTGAAACTTTATTCTTCGGAAGCAGGTGGAAGGGAATGAAATGATTAAGTAGAGGTGCTCTATTTACAGTTATACACATTTCTTATTTATTGAGTTCCTCAGCTTTGAGGCCCTGAGCCTGCAAAAAGGCACCTCCTTGCCTGTAAATTGGCTGGAATGCTTTGAAGACATTGAAGGCAAAATCTCAGTAACTGGCCTGCTTCATTTTTATCAGATAAGAAGATTCCATACAAATGAAGAATTCTTAGCTGCACAAGCTTCTGACAATGCCAGTGCTTCTAATTTTACACCTATGATCTTCAGCTGGAGTGACTGCTCAGTAACCACTTAAGACCATCTGGCTAAATTGTTTTGGCTCCTGGCTGTTTCAACTGGACACAGGCTGAGCTTTTTGAGCATGGCTATGCACTGATCTGAACTACTGCATCCTTCTCATCACCTTAGAAGTTTTGACAGCTCTCAGAAAAGAGAGCTAGAGAACCACACCACATATCCCACATACCAGTTGCCCATAGTAGAGCATGGGAAACACTATAGGGAAAACTGTGGTATACTGCAGATCAAAGATTAGTGTTTATTCTCTCTGGGAGGTTATTCTGGGCAGGCATCCTTTGGGTGAGCCAGTCCCCACTGCGACGTGTTTCTTTATGTACACATGCCATTTCTTTTCATGATTTACTTCCCTTTTTAAACTCTGAATTGGAAAACTTTCACAGTACCTGGAACGGAAACTGAGCAAAGTTAGGACTTGACCCACTGTCATTGCTTAGCCCTTACCAGCTACTCAGTGACAGTGACGCTTAGAGATGAATCATGGACTTGCAACAACAGGAAGATAGAGTCTGGAATAAAATACCAGCTAAAGCTTCTCTTGGGGTAGCATTTCTGTGAGAGATTAACAATGTAAAGAGGATTCCTATATTGGAGTGACTTTGATGGACAGAAATCAGCAATCTGGCACAAAAAAGAGGAAAAAACCCCACAAAACCCCCAAACCAACCAAAAAAAAAACAAAAACCTATCACCTGTATAAAGAAGTCAACGCAAAGAAGGGCTGGTATGGTAACTTTAGAGACATTACAAGAGAAAAGTAAAGAGTTTACATGCAAACGCTAAAGAAGGCAGAGTGCACAGCACCTTGAAGTACACAATGAAAACTAGCCTTGGAGTCAGTGAAGGAATTCAACACTAAAGACCTGTCAGTTATAGGGAGTAGCTCTTTAAACATCCTCACAAGGCAATTTCTCTTTTCTTAGCTCTCATTACCCTTCCCATGCTGACAAGATTTGCTCAGATGGCACAGCAGCAAAGAAAAACAACCACATAGCTTCCTGAGTTTTGAGCACTAAGACTTTGGTCCAAAGCTTACTTTCTCTCACCACCTACAAGTGTGGCAAGCAAAACATGAGGAAGCTAACTAAGCTGATGTCTAAGCACAGTACAGATCACACTGCCCTGCCACAGGCAGTATCAGGTTCCATGAGCTCTTAAGAAGTTAGTTAATTTTAGTCTCCTGAGAGAACAGCAGATGCCATCACTGGCATCTGTTCTTTAACAGGTATTTTGATTTCTACTGAAGGATCACAATCTAAGATGAGAAAAGCCCTGTTCACGCTGTAAACCCAGCAGCAGGCCAGAATAACTGAGAATCAACTGGATATCTAGTTTCATTTTTTCTTTCTAAGCAGCAAGGAAAATGTGCAAACGCTTATTATCCATCACACTGTAATGTCTGAACTAATTATTCACAATGTCCATGTCTGTTTGAACATAAGTGCACAAGAATGCCAAAACAAAAAAACATGAATATATTTGTCTGTTTCTCTGTCAGTCTTCACGCTCGGTTTCAGGTTATTACAAGGCAGGGAAACTGCTGCCATGGGATACAGACCATGTAGTCCAAAATGCTCACTGTGTCATGGAGTCCTATCATCAGAACAAAATGCCACTTTAAGTTATACACAGCTACTTATTAATCAGCTTCGGGTACAGTCAGGAAAAGGTGGGAAAGATTTCACATCAGTATCTATAAACCTCATGATACAAACAGGTGTATGATTTCTGTTACCAGTCGATGCCAGTATGAAATTCGATAAGATATTACCTTAAAAACAAGGAAGGAACTCAGTGGTTAGTCTCAACAGTCAGAAGAAAATAACGTTCTATGAAGGGAAGACAAAACTTCAAAACCAGATCCACAAAGCAGGCAAAAAGTTTACAGAATGCGAGGCCCTGGCCTTACATCTCCTGTGCCTGCACATATGATGCACATTAAAAAGAAAGGTTCTTGGTGATCAAAAAATCCTCACAGCCTGTGTGCTCCTGCTTCCTGAGAAAAGTGCCATCTTAAGGTAATAGAAGGATGCAAGATGCAGCACAGATTCCCAGTACCAACATTAATGTCCTTGTGTTTCAGTCAGCCCTTTAACACAACTTCCAAGCAGAACTTGTGATTGTTAACAGACATTCAGTGATGCTCACTGTTTGTGAAACCTGCATTTTTCCAAACATTTTTCTCAACTATTGCAGTGGCTTTTAACACACAGGAAAAACAGGTACTCAAAATGATAGTCTGTAGTTCAGTAATTTGGAAAGTTACAGATACACTGGTAATCATAAATGGACTGAGGTTTGAATGATTTTTCCACTCCAGTTAAATATATTGAGAAGTATATTCAAATAATTAAAAAGTGATGAAAGGAAGCAGTATTTGGAATTAATGGAAGCCATATATTCACCCTGTTGAATTCATTATTTTTAAATTATAGTTCCAACAGATTAAGAAATGCAATGAAGTTAAAATGAAGCAATTTTGTTGCTAGATATTGTCATTTAAATTAAAATATATGTGTCTGTTGAATCCAAAAGCTAAACACTCCTACTGCTGCTGCTTTTATTATTTGTAAAATCTAAAATAAACTGCCAACAAGCAATAAGCAACAACTGGAGAAACGTTAAAAAGTGAGAAGCCCCAGTATGCCAGTCTCCCTGGGTAGCTATTTTCTTACATCGTATGGGTTGCCAATCATATGATGTACACATCAAAAAAAGTCATGTTATAGAATCATAGAATGGTTAGGGTTGGAAAGGACCTTAAGATCATCCAGTTCTAGCCCCCCTGCCATGGGCAGGGACACCTCACACTAAACCATGTCACCCAAGGCTCTGTCCAACCTGGCCTTGAACACTGTCAGGGATGGAGCATTTACCACTTCTTTGGGCAACCCATTCCAATGCCTTACCACCCTCACAGTACAGAACTTCTCCTGTTTTAATTTAAACCCATTACCTCTTGTCCTATTGCTACAAATATGCAAAACCTGTTATATTAATCACCCATTTCTAAGTAGTTTAATACATTCTAAATGCTGTAATATACTCTTGAGACTCAAAAAAGGCTAAAAGATTGCTTGTAGCCTGTAACTGGTATAAAAGAGATGGTTATTTCACATGTACAGCCTTTACCATATTGGTAACACGGTAAATAATTAAAAACCTCTCATAAGCCATTTTTAAATGAATAAGATTGGAGGTGACAATTAATGAAGAGTGGAAATTCTCATCCTGCCAAGAGTTTCACAGGAGCTGACTCATGAAAATACACAGGTCTACAAACCCAATATTGTTCCAAGTCCTCAAATCCACATGGAGTTCTGATCATTTGAAATTGGACCCTTTATCTGACAAAAGGTTTTCTGAAGCAAACTATCAGGCAATTTGACATCCACCCTTTAAGGGTATTTGGCAAAATGTTGAATGCTAGCAACCTTAATGCACTGACCACAGGTTGAAGGGTCTTCCACACCATAACCACAAAATCCTCATTTTCTAATACAGTATCACCACCAATCCACATATAAACAAACACTCATGGCTGAATTTTTAATTACATGAAAAACCCCACTGGCTTCCTTTAAGGCATAGTTTCACCCCAACAACTCCAGACAGATGGTAAAGTTTTATTGCGACCAATTTTCTGTTTCAAAAACTTCAATGCATTTGAAAGGCAAACATATAAAATGCACTTTAAACTTATTTTTCTTCACACTTGTATAGAATTTATATAAATGTCACCAATCAGGTCAACACATTTCCATGGTTCCATGTGGATTTTATCAACTTTCTTTTTTCCCCCATTCAACTCAATCTATCATATTTTATATCAAATTTCAACAAATCAGCCCAGGCAATATGTCTATGGAGTCAGGGAGTATCTCCTACATAATGTTGTCAAATAAGCCACCATTATTAGCATTTTCCTGCACCCTTCCCATGATGTCCTACTTCGGTATGATGAGCAATAGAAGGAACACAAAAACATCGTACAACAAAGCCTCTTCTCCACTGTTTTGATGCAAAAAATAAACATGAAATTCCAGAAACACCTTGAGAATGCCCATTCCAAGGGACTCACCAGCGGCACAACATGAAATGACATCTGAAGAGTTCAACTCTAGGGAAATTGAGGCGCTTACCTGGCTAGGGACTTCTAAGCTGAATTGTAACTGCAGTGTTTTCCATTAACTGCCATCCATTGTTCTCTTCACAGCAGCTCCAAAGCCAATATGCTGTTAATTAATTAGCTGGAAACAAACAAAAACAAAACAACAAAATGAAACTAAATTTGAAAAGAAAGTGGAAAAGAGAAGAAAATGAGAAAAAAAATCACCTGTATATTTTACAAGTGGGAAAAGAGAAGAAAATGAGAAAAAAAATCACCTGTATATTTTACAAGTGAGAAGAATCTGTTAAAGCATGTATAAAAAAGTCAGTAAGTGCATACTCAGAACACTATCAAATCTTTAAAGGGAATATGACCAACAAGTCAAGGAAACAGGTTTTCTTTTGATGGTACTTGGTGATCCTGTTTATTTCCTAATAGTTCCACAAAAGGCCAAAGGACTCTGACCTTGGCAAACTAACTAAGCAAGAAAAGGCAATCATGTGTGCAAGGTTGTCACCTACACCACAAATTATGATAAAATATATCTCAGTATTGCAAAAAATAGCTGTATGTCTTCAGTGACATCCACTGTAGTACATTTAAGGATTTGAATAGGACAGCAATTTATTTTGCACTAAAATGTTTTATGGTTATCATAAAGCATTATGTCTTCAGAGACTGAAAGGTGATGTTTTTATGGACTGTTGCTTCTTGTTGCATTATCTTCACAGATCAAAAATCACCTTTCTTCCCCCCCCATCCTTCTTTCTCCAAGTGCCCTCCTACTGCCCTGCTAATAAAAGATGTCACACAACAGTTCAGTCTGATAAAAAGGCAACCACGCTAAACAAAGTGCACAAGGAACACATTTCTAACACATAAAAGTTTCACAATAAATGATTATCCAGCTTATTGGTGAAATAAATAATAATAATTGCCTGTCCCTCCTCATTAGACCTTTAGGAAGATAATGGAGCCCCAAAACAAAGTTCTAGCTTTTGACTTGAAATAGACCTTGTTAATTTTATTATCACTTTGCCAAAATGCCAGTCCTCTTGCACAATGACAGGGTGCAAAAAATGATAGGTAGACTGACTGATGTGCAGGATGTCCCGTTTTTAGCTTAAGAATAGTTTTGAGCTAGTAATTGAGTAACCTGATGGGGTTACTTTGCTCCTGATTTATCCCTTCTGAAGAGCAGTGGGGATTAGGTGGAACAAATATACAGTGTGTGCTTTTGACACATTAATCTGATGGATTTCAAGCTTATCCAAGTGAATGTAAATGGCAGATAGTGTATAAATTGATTATGATTTACTATCATTAATATATCAAAGCCCCTTCCCCTTCATCACATGTTTTTCAGCCTTTGACCAATACCATGCCTCCACATGGCTGACATCGGTCCATGCTTCTGTCACCTTTGGATCACTCTCTTGTAGGCCACTTCTCCAGCCATTCCTTTAAATTCTACATTTTCCACAGAAATAGTGCCTGCCAAAGCCAGCACATCTAAACACACTGCTGTAGGAATTACACTGGCTCCTAATGAGGCAGTGAATTAGCCTTAAGGGGTCTAGTTTCAGTTTGATGCGTGCATTAAATGGAGTTACGCACGTCACATAACTAATCAATTTATCCAGGCATTAATACAGTTCTCATCACTGTGGTTTCCAAGCACTTCAAAACAGCCCACAGAGGTCTTCAGAGGATTATCACAGAGAACAGACCCACAAGAACCTTTTGTTCGCTAATACTATACATTTCCCCCTCTTACTCCCAAGTACTAGTAACATCTTTGAGGCTCTTGGACAACAGGTTGTCCAGTAGTAGTAAGATAGAAAAATCAAGATAATCCACATATCCCTGTAGAGATTAGACTAAGAAATTAGTAGGTTTTAAAAAGAAACACTGAAGTTGCAATACTGCAGCATAAATCACCTTTCTGTGTGACCCAACATGATTTCTTTGTACTGCTTTATAATTTTAGTCTTTCAGGTATTAAGCTTCAATCTCCAGTGTAAAAAGTGACAACCCCACCACCAAACCAGCAAAAATATCAAGTTAAATCTTTGACCTTTTCCATTATTCACTCATTTTTAACTGAAAATCTCATATAAAGCTGCAGATTTTCACATCTGCTAGACAAGGAAACTTAACTTGCTAGCAGTGTTCCCAAGTCTTTCCTACAATAGAGTAAAAAAAAATGGCTCTTTTTGATTAATACAGGGAAGCATCATTCTGGGATATATTACCAGAGGAATATTTACACTTCTCCAACTCCTCTTTCAATTTGGCTATGCTTCTCAGCAGAGTAAGAATTAATTGTGCTTCTTATCTTTGTCTTGCACAGGATTCCTTTTGTCATTATAAAACACTCCTGAAGCAGATTCCATTGACAAGAGCACAGAACATCTAAATAACTTTCCTATCCCAAACAGAAAAGTGTGATTCATAGCACAAACTGATCCTCCCTAACTTCCACCTCATATAGCCACATTAATAAATGCTTTTTCAAGTTATAAAGTGCAGCATATTTTTCTACGGTTTTGATTTAATTCCTGACTAGCACATCCTACAGATGACATGCAGTGTGCTGGCTGGAACTGAGCATCAGCTAAGATGGAGGTAAACACCCCTTCAACCAAATCCAAACTCTTTCACAATTTGTCTGGAGGACTATAGAATAAATGGCAGAGAAAGGGCCTGATCCAACTCATCAAGAAATCCTGCTGCCTCACCTTCAGAGGAGGTAGGGCACAGCCACTCGCACACTGCAAGCTGCCCAGACATGAACACCCGGTCTGGCTCTGATAAAGCTGGTGAAGCTGAACTAACTTATAGCATCAAAGGCAAGTAACAATAGCTGCGGCATAGCTTTTTTTGCCTTGATGTGTATGTTCAGAGATCACTTTTCTTCTACTAGTAAGTTCCAAGCATACAGTTGCTGACATGTCCACAGGAAGAGCATGTCCCACATTTTTTATTGTATGTACTTCAAACTGCATTTGGATAAAACATCAATATCCCTAGTTCCCATACCAGGAGACTGGATTTAATGTGATGAAATAAGAGTTTTATAAACCTTAAAGCTCAGATAAAAACACTGAAAGAAACTCTGAGGTGTTCAGAAATGCATTTATGTTCTCATTCCCCGGATGCTGAACATGGGCTCCTTTCTGATCCCACCTTATGAGATCAAACTAAACTATACATTCCTGGTTGTTATTTTAATAATCACATCACTTTTATCTCCCTGTTCCAAGATCATTTAGTGCCAGCAGAATCAACCAGATCCTCAACCACAGTACCACAGAAAGCTAATATATGCTATTTCAATTGTTAGAAATTCTGATTCTTCTTCATATAGAGTACATAACATGGCCTAGCACAGTTCATGTATCTGAAGCGAGTGCTTTCCCAACTCATATGTAAATATGTATTTTAATATGCTTTTATATATAATGAAGTTCTATATTCCTTGCTGACATTCCGGGTGGCTGTATGATCTGACGTGTTGGGCAGAGACTCTGTGGTGTGACAATGCCTTGCTTCACTTGAGAAATGCATTTTGGTTTTAAATTGATGCCTGTGGCTAGTTAGAAGAAAAACATTGTTCTCTGATACACAACCTGGTCACATCAATTGCAGATGGAGAAAGTGGACCAGACCTATAGGATTCGAGTGCTACAGGCAGGACTGGCTTTATTTTACAGTGGAGAGCCGTCATCTGAACATGCAGTAGGTGTCTCTGGTGATTCCTGTGCAGTGGCTTCAAACAGCCTTATCCTGAGCTCATGGAAACTTTTGGGGTGATACCAAGCTGATAAAAATGCAGCAGATCTTTGTACAGCCTCTGACTGGGGGGGGGAGGGGGGGAGGGGGGGACCGTCCTACACCAAATTCCTCCAAAGCAAGGCTCTGAAAGATGATCTGCTGGTTTCAAAAGGCTTGTCCCAAATCATCTTACAGTGATGGGATTTGTAATATGTAACTGTAGTGTTAGGTGTCCCTGCCCATGGCAGGGGGGTTGGAACTAGATGATCTCAAGGTCCTTTCCAACCCTAACTATTCTATGACTCTGTATCTGTCAAAGATCTCACTGCACTGAAGTTTTCTCTAAATGAGTGCTTTCATACTGACCTAGCAGGTTCAGATACCTAATTAAAAAAACAAACAAAAACCAAAAAAAAAACTATAACAATCCCCGAAACCCCATCCTACATACCCCAGAGATGCATAAAACACACAAGGGAAAAAAAAACCCAAGCAAAATGAACCAGTATTGTCACAAACAGCCCTAATCTCATACGCCCTTACCCCCTCAGAATATAAAACTCAACCTGCTGCATTTTGTCCTCCTATGGAGACATTTCAAGCTGAAATCCTCAGTAAGTTCAGGTGCCTGAAAAGAACCAGGAGCAGCAGTCAAGCTGCCAGCAAGTGGCCCTGTGTCCCCCCTGCAGGTCATGTGCAGTGAGAATGGGGGAAATACAAAAGAAAATGAAAAAAATCAATCCATACATTATTCCTACTATCCTGCAATGCTCACATAAGCCCTCATTAACTTCAGTGGCAATATTATTGCCTTGTCATAGAGGAAAAGAAGAGAAAGCTCCTCACAAATAGAGTGCAAAAGAGATGCTGGAAGAAGCTGGAATTACAAAACATAATAACAGAAAACTGAGCTTCTAAGTGGCCAGCTTGGCCCAATCTAAGGGACACATCCATAATTTAAACAGTTCAAAACCAGAGCTTGTAGCAGTCAGTGTGAGGTCCTTCCCAACAGCAAGAGCAGCACAGTTACGGTGGCAAGCCAGCTTAATTGCTGAAGTCTTCAGATCCCACTCTGTGAGGTACAAATGTGAACAACTGCCCTATGGTCCTCAGTTGTCTGTCAGACAAGGATAGGTCCCTCCTTACTGCACTGTGAGACCACACTAACTCTGCCACTATCCACATACTGCTAGAATGCAACATAATGTGAGATTGTGTCCATATATCTCCACAGAAATATAAAACTGATAAAAGAAATACTTCTTGTAATGCTACTCTATTAGAAGGTGAGCCGAAGCTCATTAAAATCAGTGGAAGTCTTTCTTCACTGCAACAGGGGAGAGACATTTCCTCTCTAAATAATATATGAAAACCATACCACAAACAGACATGCATCACAAGAAGAAAA